CTTCAAAGGGTAAAGTCGTAAAATAGATGTCATTGGACACGTAGTTTCATAATGTCTGTAAACCTGTACGTGTTTTTCGAGTTTTAATGTTAGATGTACAACGCCATTATGACTCAGTGTCTGACATACCTGTAATTGTACACTGGTGTATTTTCAGGTGTAGTGGGCGTATCATGACCGTCTATCATGACCGTATTTGTCAGCGCACTTTATACATCGGAACATGTCTCAGAATAACAGAATGTGTGTGATTGTTGTTTTATGCCGTACTTAGCAATATTACAGCTAAAAGACGGCAGTCTGAAAAATAATCGAATCTGGATCCGACAAACCAGCTCGAAATCTACAGGGGTTCCAAATTTACTCGTCTCTCACGACGTCCAATTAGGCGCAGGGGACACATTCTAACCCGGGTGTACACGGGATCTGAGAGATGTTGATGCTTGTTTTAAAGATTCAAGGTGACAAAAAGTAACCACAACATTGTTTGTCAAGTGGGATGACTTTAACTTTCCCTTTAATGACGAGCAATATTCCCGAAGCTCCAGGCCTCGGTGTCAACATTTCACAGCTTTTGAGCTGCAATAGAGCATGCTCTTCCCACGAAGATTTCAAAGAGATTTTTCAAAATTTGTTCGATCAGAGTTACATCAAACAAAACCTTCCCAAGGTCTCTAAATGTTTTAATGTTGACATGTGGAGGATATTTCCAAATTTGACGCATCAGTGACAAAAATATTATCTCATGCTACTCCCAATTTTGACTTGTACATTGTACTTTATGTTCCTGTGCTATTTCAGGTGAACAATTGACTTGCCTTTGCATGTGTTTGTGTAAGGTACCACCGGCAGAGCAGGATACGCTTATCTTTTCACGAACACTTAGTATCATCACTGTCAGATAGTGATTCATAAACACCTGCTTATGATATTGTCGGAATCGTACAATGGACAATGAGCAGATGATTATTATGATCAGTGAAATAGTTTTCTCAGTTTGATGCTTGTTATTTAACTATGTCACGGTCACAAAATAAACAAAGCAATGTCTTTACTTGACGATAGTTTTGATAAGTATATTTAGACTTATTTATTGGTTGCTTATTGTTTGACATGGGCGTGAGTTGCTAAATCTCTTAGATCCCGGAGTAGCGTCCCACGGGCGTATCCGGATCTTATGATCATTATTTGGAAGAAGTACATATATAAATCTACTGGGCCGTTGTCGACTGAACTTGAGGGCAATGATGGCAATGAAGCCCCAGGGCGCCTTACAACTTCTAGGTGTGTGAGAATCCAATACTCTAACGGGTTCGAATACCTAATTCCTGCTTTGTCAGCACAATACCTGTGCTCGTGGCTCTACCAAAAGTGGTAAACGTCACGTCTAATAACCTGTCTTAAAAACGACCGTCATGCTATACGTCATGCTATAACACCCCTTAGAGACCAATAAGTACCGTTCGGTGTGTCTTCATGAGGTTAATGTAACACAGTATAACTACCCGGTGACCGGAAAGACCAAACAACAAAAATTATCCCGTCCTACCAAACCTGGTAGCCAGCAAATACAGGTATGCGCACGTTCTTAAACCAGCTTTATTTTGGAACTGGCGTCGAGTCATTTTAATTTTAGAAATGCTTATTTGCTTTCATTTAGTCTTAGTCAGACTGATATTTTGTTATTTTCATTTTTTTAATTTCACACATGATCTGGGCTTGGCAACATCATTGACGTTAGCATGAGCAACGTTCCATGTGATCGGTGTTGGATAACACCTAATCAGACATGCCACGCATTGTGCCCACTCATTCCTAATGTTAACCACCTTTTGTGAGAAATGCTTGTGGAACTGAGGTTCTGTCGGGATCCCCACGGGCGTGTGTGGAAACTAACACTGTCGGTTACAGGTTTTTGTGGGAGGTAATGATTTAATATGTATCGTAGGTCTGTCGTTGATAGATATCCTGCGTTTTACACACGCACTGTACGTTTCCCGTACTTCATCGAAACTGTTCAATGAATATTTCTGCTTAAAGAAAAAACTATTTGGGGATACCAATCAGTATGAAAGAAGGAGCACTTTGTAAGTGGTTTCTTTTCTGTCTGAAAGAGCCAAGAGAGGGCTTCGGTTGTTGTCAAGGATATTTCCGATGACTGTTTCATATGGAAGTGCATTTGGTTTCTATAAAGGGAGCGCTTTATCAGTGAACCGTTTTAAGTTGATTCAGGATAACGAACATAAAACGTCACTAATGACGGGTCAACAAACGTAACATTTCAGGGACAATAAGGTCATCTTCAGTGGTTTTTGACTAATATCTTGATGGAGTCTTAAAGTAACAAATGACCTACATTTATAATTACCACAGTAGAACCAATTTGAAAATTCTCTTAAGGAGTAGTGGCAGGAGAAGTAGAAGTGGAATTTACGGTGACCTACTCTTTGACGAACGTTTCAATGAAATCGTGGCATATGAGCTATGCACACAAATATAATTCTCAGCGCCCTAGGGAGTATAATAATCCAGAGAGATTGTTTATGTTATCAATAACACAGGACGTTAGTATTAAGTGGCACTTCAAGCAGATTTAGAGTAAAAAGAAGGCACAAGAATAAGGGGCACGGGTGGCCCGGTCGTCTAAGGCACCGCGATTCGCACTGCAGAGTTGCGTCCCCTGGACACGCCAGAAACCTATGATTGTGGGTTCGAGTCCCGGTTAGCCACGATTATGTTTCTAGGTTTGTCAGCACCATTCCCGTGCTCGTGGGTTTCACCGAAGTGGTAAACGTGTGAGACCTGCATCACTTCGGACTTTCCTCCCACATTAAGCTGACACGCCGCGATATAACTGGAATACCGTTAAAAGCGGCGTGAAACCCAACTAACTCACTCACTCACTCACAAGAATGAAATTATAGCTCCCAAAATAAACAAAATATGTATGAAAACAATAGAAACTATATCCATTGCAACCAAGTGAAAATAATATCCGGTCATTTAAAAGCTTATAAAGCGTAAAGCGGGTCAACTATACATCACCATATTTGATTGTATTTGTGACCAAGTTAAAAATGTCGCTTTGAACTGATCTGTGTAAATGATTTGGACCCAAAATGGACAACCACCTTAATGATAATCCATTTCAGAAATACCGCATTTCAGGTGAACAGTTTTCGCGAACACCTGGTAGCACAACTGTTTTATAGCGATTCATAACCATATACTCCTGATATAGTCGGAATCGTACAATGGACCTTCTTATGATTTTGCAACTTATAGATGCCCAAAAATATACTTCAGTGTTTTTTTTATTGAACTCCGTTCCCTAAATCACCACATAATTCATTTATATAATATTCTATTCAACTTTGATGACATATAATTTGAAGGAAATGAATAAGGGAACAATGACAAATATAGGAAAAGAGTGAGTGAGTGAGTTTGGTTTTACGCCGCTTTTAGCAATATTCCAGCAATATCACGGGGGGGGACACCAGAAATGGGCTTCACACATTGTACCCATGTCGGGAATCGAACCGGGTCTTCGGAGTGATGAGCGAATGCTTAAACCACTAGGCTACCCCACCGCCCTTAATAGGAAAAGAAGCTTTACTGTCTGTACATTTGAAATAGCGCGCATACAAATTAAACATGTCAGACTCAAATGTTGAGATGTGTTGTCGCATTCCCTTTGAACTGATCCGTGTAAATGATATGGACCCAAAATGGACCCCAACCATAATGATAATCCATTTTCGGAAATACTGCATTTCAGGTGGCCTTCATTTTAATAGAGCGGGACCATTCCCAAGGCAACCACTCTGTTGCAGTGGGTAATTTGAGTCATTTGATACAGTTCATGCATTTTTCAAACGTTTATAAGTTATGTATCAACGCTATTTCCCTTCAACTATTTCTTAAACTTCCTGTTGCATTGCAAAACCAAATACAGACTGCATGTACTTTAAGAAAACCGGTTTAGTGATCAATAGTCCCAAAGAGGCGATCTTGCTTAAATAAGTAGAGCAATAACATGTTATTTCGGTCTACCAGACACTCAGCGGTATTGCTTCGGGATCTCAGAAGCATTACACTCAGTGTATCCTTTTTACCATGATATTGGATTTTTCATACCCGAATCAGATTGGTCAGTTCTTAGCTGAGCAGGATGATGAATGGATGTTTGTCGGAAGAATGTCTATATTTAGCTTCGGAGAAAATCCCTGCCCGCCTTCCATATTCTTGCTGTCAGATTTCATTGTGGATGATAGATGGTAGTGTTAGATTAAGAGTATTGGCTTTTGTCTGGTGGAAGATGGTTTCCTCTATAGCTATACTGTGTTGTGTATATTGTCACAGGGCACAGACCTCTGTCAGTAAAACGTATTGAAATTGATGGTACACGGATATGGTCTATTTGATATGGTGCTTGAAAAAGATATTATCAGGATTACTGTTATGCAGGCCCTTGATGCGAATATGACTTGATTTGCCGGAACTGATTGAATTGGTATGTGAGTGAGTGAATATACTAGCACTATTCCCGCTATATATAAATAATCGAGGACCAGACAATCGTGTGATTGACATCATGAGAGTGTTTCATTAAATTATATACAGTGTAACAAATAAATGTTTATGTTCACACATGCAACTATATGGTTCCAGATAAGGTCGCTGATCAAGGTGTGTGTCAGCCATGTCCTATGACCATGGTTTGAATCCCAGGTTGGCATTGTTTATGATTCTAGATCTGAAAGCACCATCCAATGATTGTCAGTGATAAACATCCTCGAGCTGACACGTTCTGATATAACTGAAATACTGTTTAGACCCAATTCCTTCATATGAATATAAATGTCGTACTGCTTACAGTCGCCTCAAAATATACCTACCATCCACTCTAAAGAGTTCAAAACGCATACATACAAATGTTTTTTCGTCCGAGTTGACACAAGAAGTTTCAGCCGTGGAAATAATAAAAAGTCAAAATGGTTTTTTTTTAAGAAAGTATAAAATATTTATTTGTGATACATGTGTAAACTGTTTATAAATGCGACAGAGTAATGGCAGTATACTTCCATCGCCTGTAACCATATTTGTAGATCGATGCTTGAATCTGGATCCTCAAAGTCAGTGACAGGGTTGTTGAACACTTGAGAAAAAGAAAAAAATATATATGTAACGATTCATGAAAAGTACATTATTTATACTTTGATATGTTGGAGATGGGTCCAACAGCCATGTCCTTTTTCAATGTATATTCAATTGAATCACAGGTTCTCATTATGTAAATGTATACATTAATGTTATTAAAACCGCGTTCATCCAGTGGAAGTGCGTCTGCCTGTGAGAGCAGAAGGTCGGGGGTTCGATCCCCGGCCGTGCCATAGCAAAACCCGTTAAGAGACGGTACTTGGTGTCACCCTGCCTGGCGCTCGGCATTAGTGCCAAAATGGTCAATGCCACGTTTAACCCAATTTCACCTCACCTAACACGGTCCAATTTAGCCACCACTTACGTTCGAGCAGTGCTTGGGAAATATTCTAAGCAGGGTCCCATTCGGCCCTTCTGAAAGAGTTGAATGCAAGAAAGATGTTTGAAGACAAGAAATATGTCATGTGATCTGCGGCCCTCGACACAGAGGGAGAACATGTCCTCAAAAGAAATCACCAACAACTGTCTGTACCAAATGATTCGTACCTTATTCAGCACTTTGACATCCAGTAGTAATGGTTGGCACTTGCAGATGGTTGGCTCTTAGCCGAAGAACCAATAGGGTTGATATGGATAGAAATCATCGTCATAGAAGTCATCGAAGTCGTAGATATCGTCATAAAAATCATCATCATATCCATAATAAGGCAGATAGAACGCCGTCGTCATAGCAACAGTGATGAGGAGGAAAACCATTATTTGTCCAAGCATTTTGTTTTTTTCTGAAATATATACATAAATTGTATATGCAAGTGTATAAGATATAGTTACTACCACTTCAAATATGCTTCTGTAATGCAAGCACGGGAAAGTGTGTTGAATGCTCGAAATTACATTCAGTTCAGTGAAAGACGTAATGCCCTTGAAGGTAATTGTTAACGAGATATACTTGAAGCCTCAGTGTAGTGATTTGTTGTCGTGCTATTCTGATTGACATGGCCTTTAGAGACTCATCTTATTGATTAACCTGATTTCAAGTAAGCATGGAGAATCAAAGGCTACCACCACCCGAGAAAGTCTATAATGATACTAGCTGTATTAATAGGCATCATTGCTTTTGTATTTGATATTTTATCAAGTATATATATATATTTTATATTTCAAGTTATCAAGTTTTTGTGTGTATGTGTGTTGGGAGGGGGATTCCTTTATCTAATAAATACTGTATCCCCCGTCGAACTGAAAAGATATACATATGCCTTCATTGTAGGAAAAGACATTATGTGCCTCAAACAAAAATGCCATAATTTGTCTCGCAGCTTCCCCGCTTCCCCTACCCAAAGCCTTCTTTCTCTTTCTCTTTCTCTTCCTCTTACAAAATACAATATTTTCGTCTGAAGGAGACCAGCTTGCTTGAATTATACGCATATGCTACACATGTCCAACTGACATAAAATTATTATAAACTCATTTAAGTGCATTAAATACTTACTCACGGATATATACACACAAAAATGTTTCGTACTGATGACATAATAAAAAATAAAATACTCACACGTTTTGTAGTCTCGACACTTTGGCACAGACTGTTGTCTTGACCACTCATAGCATTTGTGATGTTATATACCATTTAGAGAAAATACTATGCCAATTATGCACAAACAACAAAGTACTAAATCCACATTGCCCCTCAGGGATGGATCCTGTCCCGGTACATAAACCTTCATTCGAATCCCCACACGGGAGAGAGTCTGACATATTTGTTGTATAGATTTACATTGTAGCTACAAAATATGATAAAATGTCATGGTGACGCAATAACCCAGGTACATATTCTGGATTTATTAATTGCATTTCTTATTCCTACATTGGAAAATGTTATCCCGTTTTTGTTTCACAATAAATTATCTTATGACAGGTTGGCATGACCTGCATTAAAAGTCGAGGCATCAATCATAAAAAAACACTGGCTGGACATTGAATTATGTTTTATTGTCCTATCGTCTGGACCACGAATATCTTTGTGCATTCCACAAGATGATAATTTACCCTTTACCTACAGGCACATTCCTGTCACTTTTCTGAGTGCATTTCAACACACAGCACGTCTCAACGCTGGTCAACATGCATGCATTATGTCATCAACAGAAATGACCATATGTATATATATATATATATATATATATATATATATATATATAGAAAGTCATACAACTGGTATTCAGATGATAAACATGATCGACCCATTCTTGACCCAGGGAAGTGTGTGGGTGTGGGTGTGGGTTTGGGTGTGGGTTTGGGTGTGGGTGTGGGTGTGGGTGTGGGTGTTGGTGTAGATTTGTTTGAGCCATGCTCGGCGGAACGATTTAAAAAATAGTCAAAAGAGGGCATATTATGTCATTCCAGGATTTTCAGCATGATAGTTCGCTTCTAATAAAATCCTATATTTTGTGTCGGTATAGTTTAAATTGAATATACAAAATCGTGTACTTTGTGCTTGATTGCACCATACATACAGTTGAACTATGACATTTGAACTTTTAATTAAGTAACAATGCAGTTTTCTGTGCAGACAGGTACGATGTCACTAGGGCAGCAAACGGGGTGTGTGTAGGGCTGCAATTATAAATGCTATTGTTCAAAGATTTAAATGTCACCAACTGATGGAAATGAATAAGGGATCACTGGCTGCCAAATATGCGTTGGAAACAATGCACACAAGCACATCTCAAGATTTGAGTCTAACATGTGTTGAATTCTTGTGAGCGCTTTATAATGTAGCCCCCCCCCCATCTATTTATTTATTAACCAAATGATTTTGTTCGACGCCATGGAGTTAGGAGTTATCTCCTTTGATATTCTGTTTGTAGCTGTCAAGTGATGTACAGGAACAACAATGTGACACTTCCAACGTTGTCACTACCATGAAACGGTACTGCGTTGTCAGCACAATGGTTTTGAGTTTCTGCAACAACAAAGGAATTTACACTTTACACTCTCGCAAAAGTAGCGGTTTCGATTTTCGAGGTCAGTGCAAAAGGTGAATGTAAATACTCGGTGAACGTCACTGAAATATTGTTGGAATATTGTTAAATGGAGCAAAACAACTCTGCCGCGTCACACAAAGAGAGGATATATTCCCCTTTTCTTGTCATAAAACATGTTTATATCTTCGAGTGATCTGACAAAGTGGATATTTTCCTGAGCGGCACAGATCAGGGAATGAAATATACAAAGTCATGTTATTCAACAGGAAAAGGGAAAATTTCTATTTCGTTTTAGATAATGATAAGATAATTTACATCACATAATGTATAAAACAATTTTGTTTAGTTTCAAATTTAGTTCAAACATTTTTCGGATATTTGTTCTTTACCATGTAGTGATTCAATACGGATATTTCCATTAAACTATTTGTTAATACATAGGCAAAATAATCAACTGAGTTGACTTTATATCACCTACTGACTGGTAATCCCAAGGGAGGTATTTTGCGGACATTATTACAGCCAATGTCGTTTTTGGTCTACTAGGCACTCAACGACATTGTTTCAGATTCCTAGAAGCATAACACTCAGTGTGTCCTTTTTACCTGATATTGGATTTTTCATGCCCAATTCATACTGGGCGAAGATATATGTAAGTATGGCTCTCAAGCCATAAGTAAGTATGTTCTGAGCTTAACAGGATGATGAATGGTTATTTGTCTGAAGAGTGTCTATTTACTGCTATTTATTGCTCACCGCTCTCCTTCCATATTTGTGCCTCCAGGTTTCATTGTGGATGATAGATGGTAGTGTTAGATTAAGAGTATTGGCTTTTGTCTGGTGGACGATGGTTTCCTTCATAGCTATACTGTGTTGTGTGTATATCACAGGGCACACAGCTCTGTCAGTAAAACGTATTGACACCTATGGCGCGCGGATATGGTCTATCTTACGTTTTTCACAGCACATGCATTTTCGTTCCTACGCAATGCTGTGATATACCTTTTTAATTTTCAATGTGAAAAAGAAGCGACAAAACACTTTCTATAATCATGAGACATCTCTCCCAGAAGCAGAGTCCATTGCACGATTCCGGGTGATCTTTGCTATGATATTGAGCAGCTTGAAGATAGCAGCGGGTTCGTCTTTAGCTATAGGATTTTTCCAATAACTAAACACAAACTTTGTATTGATATTGTTATTGCTAAAAGATTGACGGGAAGACAAGAAGACAATATCTTTGTCGGTGCTGTTTAGATTCTAGATACTGGACAGAACTTAGCACCTAAACGACTGTTTTAACATAGGTTAGACTACTATATATTTGTCAGTTTGATAGACATACACTCAATAAGGAAACTACTGCTTGAATAACAAAACTGATTTTGAAAGATGGTCACACATCTGCTGTCATTTTTTTAGAGGAGTTACAGTGTATTTGATCCCATTACTGTAGCTATTTAACATGCAGCCTTTGAATCACGAGCCCACTGCTGTCCCATGTTTAGCTATTCGTTTTAGAATAGCTAAAAACGTCCCCGCTGCTAACTTCAGGTTGCTGTGATGTTGCTGGAAAAAATCAGCATGAAATCAGCGGTGGATAAACAGAATAATTTGATACATGTTCATTGGGATGTCATGCCTAGTCTTGTCTTTAGGGAGCAACAATTGGCTGTGCAGAATTACGTCCTTTAGGCATCCCTCAGATGAACTATGACCCTGGGCTCGAATCTCAGAATATCCCAGATCATATTTCTCGGTTTTTGTTCGACCTTTCCTCCACATCAATTTGACACGCAATGATATAACTGAAAACTTGTTCACATTGGCGTTACACCAAACTCCAAACGGTTTCTTGGAATTCTTGTGAGCGCTTTATAATGTAGCCCCCCCCCCCCCCCCCCCCCCCCCGGTTTCGATTTTCGAGGTCAGTGCAAAAGGTGAATGTAAATACTCGGTGAACGTCACTGAAATATTGTTGGAAAATTGTTAAATGGAGCAAAACAACTCTGCCGCGTCACACAAAGAGAGGATATATTCCCCTTTTCTTGTCATATAATATGTTTATATCTTCGAGTGATCTGACAAAGTGGATATTTTCCTGAGCGGCACAGATCAGGGGATGAAATATACAAAGTCATGTTATTCAACAGGAAAAGGGAAAATTTCCATTTCGTTTTAGATAATGATAAGATAATTTACATCACATAATGTATAAAACAATTTTGTTTAGTTTCAAATTTAGTTCAAACATTTTTCGGATATTTGTTCTTTACCATGTAGTGATTCAATACGGATATTTCCATTAAACTATTTGTTAATACATAAGCAAAATAATCAACTGAGTTGACTTTATATCACCTACTGACTGGTAATCCCAAGGGAGGTATTTTGCGGACATTATTACAGCCAATGTCGTTTTTGGTCTACTAGGCACTCAACGACATTGTTTCAGAATCCTAGAAGCATAACACTCAGTGGGTCCTTTTTACCTGATATTGCATTTTTCATGCCCAATTCATACTGGGCGAAGATATATGTAAGTATGGCTCTCAAGCCATAAGTAAGTATGTTCTGAGCTTAACAGGATGATGAATGGTTATTTGTCTGAAGAGTGTCTATTTACTGCTATTTATTGCTCACCGCTCTCCTTCCATATTTGTGCCTCCAGGTTTCATCGTGGATGATAGATGGTAGTGTTAGATTAAGAGTATTGGCTTTTGTCTGGTGGACGATGGTTTCCTCCATAGCTATACCGTGTTGTGTGTATATCACAGGGCACATACCTCTGTCAGTAAAACGTATTGACACCTATGGCACGCGGATATGGTCTATCTTACGTTTTTCACAGCACATGCATTTTCGTTCCTACGCAATGCTATGATATACATTTTTAATTTTCAATGTGAAATAGAAGCGACAAAACACTTTCTATAATCATAAGACATTGCACGATTCCGACTATATCATGACCATGTGTTTATGAATCACCCGGTCACACACACATGCAAAGGCAAATCAATTGTTCACCTGACATAACAAGGGAACACACGGTACAGTATCAATCCACTGACTGAACATTGATTGATTTATTACTCTTTTAACATGTAGACCGCGGGTATCTTCTTACATTCGTCAAGTTGACCATTTCCTCCGAAGGACATATTTATGTCCCTGAGAGCGTTTCAGCGCTCAGTACGGCACATCACAGGTCATCTGGCATGGCTAGGGACATTTATGGCAACAACACAAATGACCATACGAATAAACAGATATACATCATGCGCTTTATGTATATTGGTGTATATGAGTATTTGATGTAAGTGAATATCATATGTCCGGTTATTCGGAGCTTACAAATGTGAGTGAGTGAGTGAGTGAGTGAGTGAGTGAGTGAGAACGAGTACAGTGTTGATAACACCGAAAAGTGTTGATAACACTGAAAACCTAATCAAGGCGAATTTGGGATTCAAACCAGTCAAGGATTCTGACATTCCTAAGGAACGAAACTCTGCTAAGTGTCCTGTACGACTCCTCCTCCACCTTCACCCCTCCCAACCACCCCACCCCCGTGCTACCCGTGTCTCTCCGAGAGCTCGAGCAAGACTTCATAGTTATGTAAAATGTTATAGTCTCAAAGATACAGT